CAGATACTGTTGTTGATCAACAATGGTTCTACGGCTACTATTGTTGATAAACAATGACTCTACAGATACTATTGTTCATCAACACAGGTTCTCCATTTATTATTGTTCGACTTTATCTGAAAACGAAAATTGTAAAAGTGCTTACAGATACGAAGCAAGCAGATGAGTTTGTGATGATATGAGCAATATGAAACGCGAATTGTGTTAGAGTAAACTATGATTCATTAGCGAGTTTGTTGCAGTGGTTGATTTGGTTATTGAGTTACTGTGTTTGCTAGTCGATTTGTCTGTTATTTCAGTTTTTAATGTTGGTTTGAGTTTTAACAAAGTACTAGAGACACGATTAAGTGCTGTAGGTACAAGAGTAAATTAGTAAGTAAATGAAATTGTTATATTAGTGTCTATTGTGAAATTAGGCCCGGCATGGCCAGGTGGTTAGGGCGCTCGACTCGCAATGTGAGGGTCGCGGCTCGAATCTCCGTCCCGCCAAACATGCTCGCCCTTTCAGCCGTGGGGGCGTTATTATGTGACGGTCAATCCCACTATTCGTTGGTAGAAGAGTAGCCCAAGAGTTAGCGGTGGGTTATAATGACTAGCTGCCTTCCCTCTAGTCTTACACTGCTATATTATGGACGGTTAGCACCGATAGCCCTCGTGTAGCTTTGCGCGAAATTCAAAAACAAACTATTGTGAAATTAGGTCTATCAGCGAACATTACCTAATTAGCAAAGTTATAGAAAACTTGCGATTAAAGAAATGAAACGCTTTCTTCATCATTTGGGATTTGTATAATTATTATTATTTTAAACAGATAACATGAAAGAAACTGCCCAGCGTCAGAAACCGTTAAAACAATAAAAAGAAATGACCTACACTTAGTAGTACATATAATTATTACCATGACACGCAGTTCTAGATATATCCATGGTAAAATTTTCCATCTGCATGGAAACCAAGACTATGAATGCAAAGGCAAATCCCTAAATACCCAAACACGTGACTTTTCTGTCTGCTTATCTAATTATCAACTTGTATTGAAACATTATAGGCGTCCCCCGGTGGGACAGCGGTAAGTCTTCGGGTTTACATTGCTAAAATCAGGGGTTGGGTGTCCTTCGGTGGACACAGCAGATGTGTTATAAGAAACACACACATTATAGACAATTATTTATTTAGAGCGTCTTTCAAATTAAAAACTAAATTATTAGAGAAAATGGAGAATGTTCGACTCATTAAACTATGTACACTTATTACACTTACTGCTAACTAACTTTCCAAGGTTTCACAGAATAATAAGGTAATGAGGCTGCAATAAGTGAGTCCACGTTATTCAGATAACTTCAAATTAAGTATTAAGTTTGAGACGCAGCTCTAACGTTTTTATCTCTTAATAGTAACTTATTGGTGACCTCTTCAAAACAGGTAAAATGACCATAAGAATAATACCAACCTTCTTCTTCCGACAGTTCTCCCTGTAAAAACTGTAATACGGCCATCGCCAGTTCAGTAGCTGTGTCATCGAACAACTGAGGAAAATATCGATGGAACAAAATGAATTTAAACTCATTTGATTTTAGTAAATCTGTCATAAAACAAATTACAAAAAAGGGAAGATGTATTTTTACGTCATAAAACAAATTACAGAAATGGAAGATGTATTTTTACGTCATAAAACAAATTACAGAAGAGGAAGATGTATTTTTCACGTCATAAAACAAATTACAGAAGAGGAAGATGTATTTTTCACGTCATCAAATAAATTACAGAAGAGGAAGATGTATTTTTCAAGTCATCAAGTAAATTACAGAAGAGGAAGATGTATTTTTCACGTCATCAAATAAATTACAGAAGAGGAAGATGTATTTTTCACGTCATAAAACAAATTACAGAAGAGGAAGATGTATTTTTCACGTCATAAAACAACTTACAAAAAAAAGGAAGATGTATTTTTCACGTCATAAAACAACTTGCAAAAAAAAGGAAGATGTATTTTTCATAAAAACATTAAATGTTTAAAAATTATGTTGTTTGTTAGTATCGTTTTTGAATAAATTAGTATTACATCTGTGATCAATAGTTCACGTGATATTAACATGGCCGAGATCCCCAAGTTCTGTTTATACAAATAAAATTCACTTCATTCGTGGACAAAATCTCATTAAAAATCCTGAGACTATCTTCCATCACATACAATTAGACACAAATGTGGACAGACGAAAAATACTACATTAACTACCTGTACGGAAAGATCTCGGTTAAAACGAACATTTAGTAGTTACCTCTTTCCTCGCTAGGTTGTACATAAGACTGACACCTTTTTCTTTAACTGATGGCCTGTCGCTCAGAAGAGCATGGACCGAAGCTCTAATTGTAGCTCGACTGTTGCTGCTGTGTCCGCTTTCGCTCTCCCATTCGGAGATATACATCAGCCAATCAAAACTGCTTCCTTGGTGGCATAGATTGCACAACTGTTTGACAATCAGTATAATATGGTAAATTTACACACTTCTAAAAAAATATGCCGAATACAGACTTAGCCACAATAATTACATTTCTTACAGACGTTTCAAGCGAATATCTTTGACTAGGAATGAATGATTGTAAAACATACTGCACTTAACAGTCTTTTATACAAGATTTTAAAAAGTCTATTTGTAAATTACTGGCTAATACACTATGACAAGAATCCTTAAACATAAAATATAATAACATTTGTCAACTTATTATTCTCCTTGCCAATTTATTACACTATTATAAGTATTTTATTTCCTCAAAGAGGAAATGCATTTGTTTAAATAACAAAGTATGACGTGATTCGAATAATAGGTGATCAACGAAAATACTTTTTTTTTATATTGCATTAGTCATCCGTGGTTTAAACGTTACTTGTTATTGGCCATTCCGTCAGTTTGGTTTGATTTAAATTTCGCGCAAAGGAAAACGAGGGCTACCTGCGCTAGCCGTCCCTAATTTAGCAGGTTTGTGCTAGAAACAAATAAGCAGACAATTTCTTAAATTCTAGCCGTCGTGTGGACTAACCGGACCGGGCTTGGCCTAATAGTGTCCGAGATGCGAAGGGAAAGTCTAAGGTTCAAGCCCGCGATACATCCTAGCACTTTCAGTTACGGACACTTTATAACCTTGAAAATTAATCCTGTTATTTGGTTGAGATTATGCTAACTGATTATCTTCTTGCTGGTTAACAGTTCTATAATAGGGTCGGATATGCCTGAACCTGGGGGTCTCTGTGACCCGGCTGTTTAGCTCAGGTTTCGCATGACGTACGTTGAGGTTCAAAATATGAAATTAAATTCACGATGTCACTACTTGTCCGAATAAGCACTATTGATGACCCTACTATTCAGATTTGTTATGAACATGTTTCCTAAGCCTAAACAATCACTTATCTCCAATTAATGACGTTTTGTGACCACACCAAACATGTAAACTATAATAAAAAATAATCTTTCAGAACTTGCCACAAGAAACAATTTATAGAATAAATGAAAACAAAACTTGGTAAGTGTCTTAGATAATTCTGTTCTATGAAATGAAGCCAGAAAAGTATACTTAATGTAACATAGTATTTTCTGGCTCGCGGATTCCCCTCATAGTAATCAGTTATAAGACCCGCTAACAGGATGTTCGAAGGATATCAAGCTTCGGAGTGTGTGTCTGTTTATCTCTCCAATTTCTAACCGAATTTGTCGGGTAGAAAGAATCAAATCACCGAATGTACAGAAGAATAATCTTTATTTACACTGAAAAAACAAAAACGTAATCATATTTACTAACACACGATAAAACAAAACAGGGGTGATGGGTCTATGGTGAATGCAGTGGCGTAGCAAGGGTTCACAGCACCCGGGGGCAAAGACACTTTTGGCGCCCCAACTCTGAAATGTTTTGATTATTTGTTTTGTGACTCATTACCCATTTAATGACAATAACATACATAATTAATTACCGCCTTACACAGGCCTAAAATAAA